GGGTTAGAAAGCTGCACAAGGTCAAAGAGTAATGGCCAATGTAGGAGTCATAGGATATTCTTCTCTGACATCTCCTTTCCTTCTGTTCCTTTCCATAGAAGGGTGCATTTGGGGGCCTCTATCTTTGGGAGGAACTTGCAATTCAGATGACCTCAAAAAGATCAGGAGTGAAAAGGGTAGAATAGAGAGAGGAAGCAGAAGCAGGCTGCCTATGACTGTCTGGAGGCTCTGGGCTTTTAACAAGAGCTGCACTTGATTGTGTAGTTGATTCAGCTCCATAGAGAAGAAAAGTTGCAACGTTGTCAGGGAATATGGCAGCTGGGACATAAAGAAGGTGCGATGGGCTGGAACACCACACCTATTAGACTGCTCAAGACAAGGAGAGACTTGGTAGAGGATAGTAGGAAGAGGACCAGACCCCCAACTGGGCAAGGAAACAGTGAAATCAGAAAGGGAAGGCTGTAACAATGAACACTCAGGTGATCTTTCAAGTACTTTACACACGGGGACTTAGCTGTGTGTAAGCCTATCTCTTTGCCACTTTCTTACTGCTGAGACATGATACCCAACACCCACAACTGTAATGGGGAAAGCATTATTTTGGCTCACAGTTTGGAGGTTTCAGTCTGTAGTCTGCTAGCCCCAACACAGAGTGGCATATGGCAGAAGGGCGTGGCAGAGGAGAAACAGCTCATGGCATGGTAGCAGGCAGCAGAGAGCTCCAGGGAGGAGAAAGGGAGATGGACCCTTCCAGGCCACGCCCCCAGTGATCCACCTCGTCCAACCAGGCCTCACCTCCCAAATTACATTTAGCTATAAGCTCATCCCTGGACTAATCCACTGATGAGTATCACACACTCATGATCCAATCACCTCCCCAAAGCCCCACCTATGATTGCATGAGGCTGTGGGGGGGACATCTAGCTATAAACCAAAACAGCCTGTAATTTTGGCACTCTGGAAGGCTGAAGCAGGAAGACTGCAAGTTCAGGCCGAGCCTGGGCAATTTAGTGACTTAGTGAGGCCCTGTCTCAGAATAAAAAATTTAAAAAGGGCTGGAATGTGTAATTTGGTCAAAAACCTGGGTTTATTCCGCAGTAGTGGAAAAGAAGAAAGAAAGAAAGAAAGAGAGAGAGAGAGAAGAAGGAAGGAAAGAAAAATTTAATCACTGTGATAACCATCACCTTACGTTTGTCACTATCACTATTAAACATTAGATATTACGTATATTGTTGGTAATGCTAATAATACTATCATTGCTGCATTTTACAGATGAGTGCAGTGAGGCACAGAGGTTAACTCGCACTACTAATAAGTGGCAGGGCTAGGTCTTAAATCTAGATAATCTGGCCTAAGAGTTTATGCTCTTAACCATTTCACTTAGTAGCCACCCTAAAGAACATTTCAAAGTAAAATTTAATGTGAGTTGAATCTCCTTTGATTTAATGCAGTGATTTTTATTCTTGACATTGCTCCAGCTGTTTACAATTTAAAAGGTTCTTGAACCTCTGCCCTGTCACTTAGCTGCTGTTTGACTTCAGGCAGTTACTGACTATGCTTCAGTTTTCCCATCTGTAAAGTTGGGGTGACAATGATACTTGTTGGGGTGTTAATTGGGAGAAAACACATGCAGGGCTTAGCCCCACACTAAGCCCATAATGAGCATTCAATAAGTGTTTGCTGCCATTGTTGTTATGGTTACTATTCATATTTCATAAACTGCAAATAACCCTGTAAGTTAGGTAGGATTTATTAGCCTCATTTCTCAGGTTCAGAAATTGAAACTCAGAAGGCAGAAGCTAGCCCAAGGAACAAGCCAGAAAATGGAAATGCCGGGCTTAGAAAATCTTCCAACTTCCCGCCTCCTTTCAGCTCCCAATTCTCACTCCTACCTCCCTTCTTTTCCCCAGGGGGGCACTGGTCAGTGGGTAACTTTGAAGACAGTGGAGGACAGGTTCAGGGAGGAACTCTGAGGAGTATTAAGAGAGGCCTAAAGGCACAAATAGGTCCTGTTTAGGGATGAGTGAGCAGTTTCCCGAATCCCCAGAACAAATGCCAGGAGGAAAGACTGAAGGTGCAGCTATGATGTTCTGTGTATCCCAACAGCCACTGTGGCTTGGCCTGGGGTGGGAGAGGGGGGCCTTCAAGCTTGGAAGTAAAGGAGGGCTTTCATGCAATAGGGAAAGAGAAGAGGGTCCTCATGTGCTTGTCTGAAACGATCAAACACCTTTCTAAACTGCACTGCATTTTCACAGGGCCGCTAGGTGTATGTGTGCCTGTTCCTTTGGTTTTCTGAAATTCTGCATTTCGATGAACTTGTTTAAGTTTCTATTAGTGGCTCCTGTTCTGGTACATGGTGCATTCAGTCCTGAGACTAAAACACAGGGATGAGAAAATCAGTCATTTCAATAAGGAAATCAGTCCATCTTTTGAGATGGAAGATGGTAGCCAACTTTGTTAAGCTCCAGTTTCTACATCAGTAGCAGTAGTAGGATTAGGAGATACTGGGATGTGGGGGGTCTGGCACTGAAGCCACCTCCCCCAGGCCCCAAACCGTGTGCTCTCCTCACAGTCTCTAAGCAAAGCCCCATCAGTATTTTTCCTTTTAATATTAATGAAAGTTTTTATTTTGTGTCCCTTGAAGAGCTTCATTTCATAGAATCCCAATGATTTGTCAAATTTTGTTGAACACCCACTAAGCGCCAGGCATTGTGCCCAAGAGGCCATAAAACAATGGATGGGAGTGACTTTGTGCTGGTAGGATCCCTGGTAGTTATTTATTCCTAGCTTTAACAGCCACAAAGCCAGGTGCACCGACTACTCTTAATTCCCCCACATTTCGCAGGACATGCTTGGGCCATAGTAGTCACTTAGTGTTCTCAGAGTTTACTTTCATTCATCTTCCAGGAAAAAGTGTACATTTTGTCTAATTAGATGACATTCTACTTACAGCCACAAGGTGGAGGTCTTGCTTATAGTTTGCCTAAACTGAAAGGGCCATATTTCCAAAAACAAATTGCTAGTAGAACTTAAACCAAGACAAAAATTAAATTCAATGTATTGAGCACTTATTTAGTGTAATATACAATGTCAGGTGGTAAGATATAAATTTGATAAGATACAGTACCTGCACACCAAGGAAAGATGGGGTCGGGGGCTTACACAGGACAAGACTATAATACCTTTTAAATTAATATATTTTGATGCATCCATATAGGAGCCATTGTAATCCTTTCATCAGATAAGAGCTATGAAAAGACGTGCTATAGCTACCATGCGGTTCAGAAGAGATTCAACAAAGACCTTACACTGCAGCCTCTACCCACCACACTGGCAGAAACACGTGAAAATATACACGCTGGTCAGCGCAGAAAGGCCTCACACGGGTTCTTTTTTGATGCTGGTGCTCAGCAACAAACATCAGCGTGTCTGCCCTAGAACTCGAGAACGTTCATTCTTTGGCGAATAAAATACAAAACGCCAACTGATACCATAAGGTGATAACACCCAGGTACACCTGATGGGAGAGAAAAGGAGAGAAAAGAAATACGTGTAAGGAAACAAAATTTGAACTCTGGCTTTGTGGAGGTGGATTCGACCCTCATCCCGCCCCGAATCGGGTGTCTAACCTGGGAATTCTAGGTTTAGATCACAGATGCACTGCAGTCCCAGAGGAGAGGGCCAGTTGGCTTCCCACTTAGCTTCCCTGGTGAATGGAACCCAAGGGTGGCTGGAAGATGAGGTGGGGGTTTTGTTTTACTCTTCCATCACCTCCCACCATTACTTTTTCCTTTATCATTAAAGCAGGAGGTTAAATGCAGTACGGGGTTGTTGATCGTTTGCGTCTAATTGAAAATTGCAGTGTGGAAATAAAATGACTCAATGATAGTTTAAATTTTGAGGACGCTGACTATATATCCAGAACTTTCTCTTAGAGGAGAAAATTAAGTGATATTCAAGCAGTGGACCTGGGTTTGGTTTTTGGCTTCTCTGCTTGCTAACTGGAGAATGCTAAGAAAGCCCCATCCCTTATCAGTGCCTTAGTTTCCTCGTCGGAGAAAACAGTACCGTTTTTTCAGAGAAGTTGTCCTTGGTGTCCCTCTCCTTAGCACATCCCAGGCTACAGTGCTCTGAGCAACCTAAACCTCCTGTCACTTGAGCGTAAGTACTGGAACCCAGAGCCGTGGACTTCACTGCTCCAGACTAGAACCAGAGCCGGTCTCTTTGCTGAAGGAACCTATGAGCGATGAGCCATGTGCACCGCGAGGTTTCATTCCCGGAGTCCCTGGGGAAGGCAGGACGGCCAAGCTCAGAGAGCAGAGCCTGCAGTGACCCGTGAACGAGCTAGGAAAGAGGAGGTGTGGGTTCAAAGTTGTTGGCTACAGATGGTTCCTCACCCGGCTGGAGTCCAATCCTCTGGGGCTGGAAGAGGTTTCCGGGAATTTACAAAGGGCAGCGTAAGTCTCACCGGGGAAAGCAAAGGGACCCGCCCTGATCTCCTGATCTCCGCCTCGCAGAACCGGGAGCTTGTACTGTAGGTGGGGTCCGGGTGAAGTTTGCAGATTTGGAGCTGTCCAAACCGAAGGACTCTACTACCGCCCCACCCCAGCTAGGCCCGGGCTCGCGCCTCGCTCGCCCAGCCCCTGGCTCGGGCCAGCGCCTCCGACGACCCCGAGTGGGCGCCGCCAGCCGTGCTTCCTCCCGGCCCCTAAGTCCCCAAGCGTGTGTGGAGCCGCCTCTCCCTCCTAGAAGGATCCATCGCCGCTTTAAGAGGAAGAGGAGGGGGAGCGGGGGGCGGGGAGCGGCGGCGCGGAGGAGGGGGAGGGGGGGTGCCCCGCGCTCCCACGTGGTCTGGGCGCCTGTGAATCGCGCCCGCCGGAGGGTCTCACAGCGAAATACAAAAGCAGCTGGGAAGCGGCGGCGAGGCGAGTTCCCAGCGCCCGGCAGAGCGCCGGACAGAGCCCCGCAACGCTCCGCAGCCGCGATGGGACTCAGGCGCCCGAAACCCCGGAGCGAACAAGCTGCCGGGCCCTCCTCGCCTCCCGGACCCGGGCGCCCGCGCTCGGATTGAAGCGGCGGCCGCCGCGGGAGCATGAGGAAGAGGATGCGGGGCGCCGCCGCCACCGCGGGGCTCTGGCTGCTGGCGCTGGGCTCGCTGCTGGCGCTGTGGGTCGGGTTCTTGCCGCCGCGGACTGAACCGCCAGCCTCCCGGCCACCACCAGAAGACCGACGACTGCCCTGGCGTCCGGTCAGGAGTGGCCGCCCCGCGCCTCGCTTGCCGCTGCCCCCGCCCCTGGCGGCGTGGGATGCCCGCGGGGGCTCCCTGAAAACTTTTCGGGCGCTGCTCACCCTGGCGGCCGGCTCGGACGGCCCGCCCTGGCGGCCCCCGGCCGAACTCAGGCTGCACGTGCCACCCGAGCCAGCGGAGCGCGCGGCGGTGCGCGGGGGCGTTTTCTGGAGCCGCGGCCTGGAGGAGCAGGTGCCCCGGGGCTTCTCCGAGGCCCAGGCGGCGGCGTGGCTGGAGGCGGCGCGCGGCGCCCGGGTGGTGGCTTTGGAGCGCGGGGGCTGCGGGCGCAGCTCCAACCGGCTGGCCCGCTTCGCCGACGGCACCCGCGCCTGCGTGCGCTACGGCATCAATCCGGAGCAGATACAGGGAGAGGCCCTGTCCTACTACCTGGCGCGCCTGCTGGGCCTCCAGCGCCACGTGCCGCCGCTCGCCCTAGCCCGGGTGGAGGCTCGGGGCGCGCAGTGGGCACAGGTGCAGGAGGAGCTGCGCGCCGCGCACTGGACCGAGGGCAGTGTGGTGAGTCTGACGCGCTGGCTGCCTAACCTCACCGACGTGGTGGTGCCCGCGCCCTGGCGCTCGGAGGACGGCCGCCTGCGACCCCTGCGCGACGCCGGTGGCGAGCTGGCCAACCTCAGCCAGGCTGAGCTGGTGGACATGGTGCAATGGACCGACCTGATCCTCTTTGACTACCTGACAGCCAACTTCGACCGGCTCGTGAGCAACCTCTTCAGCCTACAGTGGGACCCGCGCGTTATGCAGCGCGCCACTAGCAACCTGCACCGCGGTCCCGGCGGGGCGCTGGTCTTTCTGGACAATGAGGCGGGCTTGGTGCATGGCTACCGGGTGGCAGGCATGTGGGACAAGTATAACGAGCCGCTGCTGCAGTCGGTATGCGTGTTCCGAGAGCGCACGGCAAGGCGCGTCCTGGAGATGCACCGCGGCCAGGACGCGGCGGCCCGGCTGCTGCGCCTCTACCGGCGCCACGAACCTCGCTTCCCTGAGCTGGCCGCTCTCGCCGACCCTCACGCTCAGCTGCTGCAGCGCCGCCTCGACTTCCTCGCCAAGCACATTTTGCACTGCAAGGCCAAATACGGCCGCCGGCCGGGGTCCTAACATCCTGGGAAGAGAGGGAGATTTGGACTGGGGTATGGATGACGGGGAAGGGCTGTCGCCTGTGCCAGTGACTGGGACCAGCTGGCCAACACCCAGCCAGTGGCCTCGGGCGCGAAAGTGTCTAAAACTTCTGCTTCACCCACCTGCCCTTTTCTTTTAATCCCACGCTGTTTCCTTTCAAAGTCTGGGAGGGCGAACTCACCGAGGCGAGAAGTGTTAACATTCCCTCCACCCAGTTTATAAAAGGATTATTTCCGGTGCGGGGCCAGGAGATAGGATCCGAAGAAACTGGCTGCAGGGCTCGGGCCCCAGCCGGGGTGGTCCCAGGGAGATATGCACTCCCTTCTTGGGACACCTCCTCCCATTCCCATTCCAAAAAAGGAGAACTTCCGTTTGAGCCAGTTGAGCTAAGGCTGCAATTTACTAAGCAGCGCTGGTGGCCCCAGAGCAGGGGAAAGTCCCCCTGGTTGCCTGGTGGAGTCCCCTTCCTGTATTCTCCCTTTGTTCCATCTCCCGATGATGAGATCATTATTCAGAGCTGGGGGACAGCCCCAGTAGTACGAAGAGAGCAAGACCTCCACTCTCCGGGAGCCCTACAGACCCTGATGGTTTGTCTGACTCATTCCTGCACCCTCCTCGTTTGGGCCTGAAGGCTATGAATTCAGGACTGTTTGTAGGCACTGAGTCAAATAATGAACTGCTTCTTCCCCGCTCCCAACTGACCAAAATTTTGACAATGATAATGTTCACTAGAAGGAAAAAAGAAATCAGTTCTGTGCACTTTACTTTGTTTTTATTTTAATTTTTTATTAAGAAAAACTTTTTATTTGACAGAATTTGCCTTCTATGTATATATGTGCATAAAGTGTGGTGTAAATATACTAAACAAACTTATATTTCAATAAAAGGGAGTTTAAAATTTAGAATTTAACTCGTGGTTTTATCTATTATGTGTCTGATGCCTCATCTGTTTGCAGAATAAGCTTTAGGTTTTCTCTTATGCAAATGTGGCTGTCCACCCCAGTACTAGGAATTGAATCTAGGGGACTTTTCACTGAGCTACATTCTCCGCCATTTATTTATTTATTTATTTATTTATTTATTTATTTATTTAGAGGGTCTTGCTAAGTTGTTGCAGCTGGGCTTGAACTTGCTATTCTCCTGCCTCAGCCTCCCAGAGTGCTATGATTACAGATGTATGCCTCTACCACACCTGGCTTGGCTGTACTATTTTTTTTTCTTAGTACGGGGGATCAGACTCAGGACCTTGCACTTGCAAGGCAGGCACAGTGCCTCTGAGCTAAATCCCTGGCCCTTGGCTGTGCTTTTAAAACAGGCTGTAGCCCCATCCTGACTATGACTGTGGAACTTAGAGAATGGAACAAAGAGGAGAGCTGTCTTTCAGGTCATACTCAGATAAACCCTAGGGCTGGAAAATTGAGGTCAATCTAGGATGCAGGGGAAGGTGGTGGGAAAGTTCTATTTCCTGGCAAATAAAACTGATAGAAAAAATTTCACCGTCCTATATTCCTATATTAATCATTTGGCAAATATGGAACCAGATGTGTGGGTTAGAATGTGACAAATTGCCCCCCTTTTAAACTTAACTACAGTGATCACATGCTGCACATTATTTTCAGCCTTGTAATTCCCAGGCATGACAATGTGTAAAGAATAAGCTGAACACATTGCACACAGGTAGAGAAAGTCATAAATTAATTCTTCTCTTTACTCTCCTAGCATAAAATTCCATCCAGTTCAGGAGATGATAATCTCCCAACATCTGGACTCACTGAGCCCTCTGAAGAGGTTGTGGTGTTTTTCCAGGTATTAACTGCATGTTCCCCTCAGCAGCGCTTATAAAGCCAAAAAAAGTATACAGTATTTTTTACATGACATTTGAATCCTTACTTCTTGAGGAACTGCAAACTTAGAAAATATTCTTGGATTTTGTTTTATAGCCCCATTGATCTATGTTGGCATCTTATTTGGTATCTGAGCCCAAGTGATTTTGCTATTATCTTCTTTTTATTATTAATGACCTTTAACTCAAAGCAATTTTTGGTTACAACTTAAAGTTTTTTATGTGACTTGCATTTGCAAATCTAGAGTTTTAAAGACTCATGAAAATACTAGATGTCAGTGGGTTCCCCTTCTCCCCCTGAACTACAATGTAGTTATGAGTGGCTATGCTAAGTCAAATCTTACCTGGAAAAAAAATACGGTCCGTAAACTCTTTGTGGTGTAAGCCAAATTTTTTTCACAGGGTAGCCACAGAATATACTATAGGGGTAAGTATATCTTTCTTTTCAAGACCTGTGATAATTACATCTTTCAAAAAAACATTTTTCCATTTCTGCTGATTAATAACTACAATTTTCTCCTTCGGTTAATGGAGGCTGTTCCAAGAAAAGGAAACCTATTTAGCAACATGCATCTTTACTCAACAAGTTCAGTGTTCATCTAGAGAAACAATGAGCTGAAATAAATTAGAAGTTTCACAGATTGCACAGGAAATGCACCTTGACTCTAATACAGTTTAGGCACTGTGGAGATTGGGCCGGCAGCATTCTCAGCATTCCTGCTATTCTTCAGTTCCAAGCCCAGACTTGACTATGGCTAACCGTGACCAAGAAACTGAGCATAATTTAAATGGCTCTTCTCAGATTCTTTGGTGAACCATATCTGCCTGTTGGAGAAATAAGTTTAATTACATGGTGGAGTTGTTAAGGGGACCAAGACTTAATTACAGAGAAGCATTTTTAACTGTTGCTATTACTTGTGGATAGTCAGTAGGCTGTGGCAGAGAAAGATCAATTAAAGTTTTGCCATGGTCAGTGAGTGCTACTGGGGACAAATCATTTTGCAAATGAAAAAAAAAAAATGTCTTTCAGGCTACAGCGTGATTTGGAAAGAGTAATGGGTGCCACAGGCAGACTATTTTCTGAATTCTGCCCCTCACCTATTTACCATCAGCAAGTCATTTAACTTCGTTACCTCATCTGTGAAATGGAGATTCGATCACAGTACTACGGGATTTAAATGTTAACATCTAAGACATACAGGCACATAATAGTTACAACAGAAAAACCCCAAAACTCACTTCATATTCCTCTTTCCTTTCTTATACTCCAGTAAACGTCTACTAATGTTCTTCATCAAAGCCAAATCTAGCTGTTTCCAAGGTCAAGATTTTTTTTGACATGTAGTAATAAAGTATCAAAATTATTTTTTGAGGATTCTCTTCCAGCACTATGGAAGGGACTGGCTCATCAAGCCAAGGGCACAGGTTTGATCTCTTCATGGATTTTAATGGTTGATTTCAGGACTCAAGCAGACCCCATTCACCAGACAGCTATACTACAAATATATGTGGGAGATTTTAAAGAAAAGAAAAAATTAAATGGCTCATTGCAAATCCATCACCACTTCTGGAAAGCATCAAAAAGTGATGAATCTTTGCAGGAACAATCCTCTTCTTCATTCCTTCTGCCAAGAGAAAGTAGACAGTTGACCTCTTCTCCCTGGATTTGACTGTTGATTAATTCCCTCTGTCAATGACATAGTTCTAAATTCTACTAAGCATACTCACCCTTCTGTCTTCAAACCAGAAAGAAAGAACAAATAATTTCAACACATCTCAACACTTCTCACCCTTCTGACTACAACTGCAGCTAGGAGAGTCCTCTGGAGCCTATAGGTTGATTATGTGGATTAAACGAGTAAATATTTATTATATTCTCAGAAAACTGCCTGGCACATAGTAAATGCAAAGTAAATGTGTGTTTATTGATGGGGTAAATCATTTCTCCTCTTAAGTCAAAACCAGAGGCACCTTGAATCCCAGGCAGGATCTTCTTTCATAATCCAACTCTATCACTGCAGTTACAGAACACTTTCTACATGCTTCTGTTTTGGCTCAGGAAGACCAGCTATAGTACATGAGTCTGGCAGGAATTACCCAAAGCCCACAGTTGTCAGCTGGTTGCCTTGTTTCTGAAAATGCCTTCTCTGGAAGTCGTCATGTGTACCTCCCTCTGTTTCACAGGGAGGCTATAATTCTGTGTCTCATGTGGTTCATCAGCTTCAGGGAGTGGTGAGCTATGGAATTTTGCAACCTCCTGGGCTCTCATGACTTATCCATGAGTCATGGATAATCCACCCCTGGGTATTTGCCTCTCTGCACACCTACCTTGATTCCAAAAGGTAGAAGGATGGTAGGGATGTTAGAAGAGAAAAGGGAATCCAGTTGATCCAGAAGCACGAGAAATGATCCATAGGGAAGCAGAATGTCACCTGCCAAGATGGTACAGAAATGCACAGGCCAAGGTTGATATATGGTGATGAGCTGAGTCTAACAGAAAGGATGCTGGGAATGAGGAGACCCAGGTTGCTTCTGACTCACTGTGTGATTTGAGAAAGTCATTCATTTCCCCTCTCTGACTCCAGTTGTCCTGTTAGAAAGGAAGATGTTTGATTAGATTGATAATTTTCTGATTTTTGATCAGAGCTCATAGTCTGACACATGCTTTGTACTGTGACCCAAAACATACACATGCACAACTGAAACAACAGTTTCAGAAAACAGTATGTACAATACTCTTTTTAAAATTTCATTTTACTCTATTCTACCTCCACCTTTACATCCGAATGCTAATTGTGACCCTAAATTGATTCCATAATTCATCAATGGGGCACAGCCTACACTAACCAAAACACCAGCTCAGGTCATCATTAAGCTTCCTTCCAGCTGTCAGCTTCCTTCCATTTATAACCAGATTACTGCCTTCTAAATTTTTTTCCCCAAAAGGAATGCAAACAGGTTTCAATTTTGTCTTCAGTTCCTTTTTTTTTGTACCTGGGATCAAACTCAGTACCTTGCGCTCTGGAGGCAGGCACAGTGCCACTGAGCTAAATCCCCAGCCCAAGGCTTCAATTCTGTATGCTCTTAAAAACAAAAGACTGAAGTGCTTTGTTCAAAATGTGATTGGGAGAACCACTTAAAAAATCTTTCCTAAGGTCTTTCTATGAATACTTTAAATATCTCTTCAACGTGGGAAGTAACTTTCAGTTGTTCTAACCATGTGTGAGTAAATATGGTTTTGGAGTAAAAAATAATAATAAGTCTCTGCCTCTCTGCCTCACCAGGGCCCAAGGATGACTCAAGAGTACTGTTTCTTTTCTGTGTATTCATAAAGATCAGATGGAAGAGTCATAATTTTTTAATGTGACTGTTTTACCAGTTTCTCTTTCTGTGTCCTGCTGTGGGGGAAACTGCATTAATAAACTATGTCTCAATGCTGCCTAGCTGGAATTTTTTTCTCTGCAGGACTCCACCAAATATAGCAAAGGAATGCTTATTTTATTTATCTTTTCAACTTTATTTCTATTTTAGATATGTCTTCTTGACATTTTTGAAATTTTTTTAATGGTGCTGGTTTTTTGCTTTGTTTTTTTTCAGGGGAATAGAGAACTAAATGTTCATTGAGTAATAACAACAACAACAAAAAGAACTCTTTTTTCCCGCCTTCTTGGGTGCCATATATTATCTTTTATGGGTTTAATGGTTATTTTACACCCTATCCAGAAAAGTTGAGTCTTTTATGGAACTGATGTTTTCCCTGTACAAGCTCTCAGATTTTTACTTTGCTGAGAAATTTTGGATTAATAATAAAGAAGTGTCAGTTTCATTTAGATGACCCTACATCATGCATTTGTCTCTGCCTATTGTTTACATCTTTCTTGCAATGACTTTTTTTAATGTGCATTAAAGAATTTGTGTCCATCCCACAAATGGTCTGGAGAGTTACGGTTTTTAAAATGCTCATAGCCATGATCCTTTGTTTATTAATTGCAGTAAAATAAATATAACATAAAATTTTAATAGTTGAAAATATACAATTAAGTGGCATTAAGTATAGTC